CGAGCCGATCTTTTGGTGAAGAATATAAATGAAAAGAGACGTGACCGATCGCCCAAGCGGCTAACAAGCCGATCAGTGGCGAGGATGATAAAAAAAAAAAGTAAAACGAAAAACACGTACCCTCTAACCCTGTTCAAGGAGAGGACTGGGAGAAGCTGTTTGGTGCTGCAGACGATGACAAGGAAAATGATTTTGATGGATTTTAATGAAAATATTCAGAAATATAGTATCGTAGTATTTGTTCAAGTCAATTAGGATAGATTATTATCGTAATACAACATTTTTTTTTACTGAAAACCATTCGAAAAGCCATTACGGTAATATGTTTTGAACGAAAGAAAGCGAGTCATTGCTTTCGTCACAATTTTATCCCACTTTCCACTGTATTACGTACGTCATTTCAGCAAAAAATATTACATTTCCGTGAATGCATTATATCAAGCACAGTATGAATAGAATACCATTGTAATATAACAATATTTTAACCAAAAACTATTAAAAAAACGAGTAACTTCTCTTGAACATCGGAAGGTTAGGTAAAATCTTTTGTTTTCGTCATGTATTTTATCCTATTTTACATTGAAATACATCACGTTTCAGCAAAACTACTATTTATTTCCGAGAATATATTCATTCAGGCACAGTTAAGGTAAAATATACCTGTGATGTAACAGTTTTTTAACTGAAAACGATTCAAAAAACACGTGTACCGTCTATCTGATACTCAACAGCTGGTGGTGCGTCATGCGTCGTTGTAAACAATAGGAGGTTGAAGTAGATTACCGGGTATTATATAAAGTGTGAAATATCGAAAAGGTTTTTATTATCGGTATTTTTTTGTAGATCAATGAGAACTGTGATACCGTATATGATATGATAAGTTAGCCTGTGCTAAGAACTTCAACATAGACTACTGAAAGCACTTGTAAGGTTATTTAGCCTATTGTAAGCTGGTGAGCTTCATTTGCTGAAGGAACTGCACAACTTTTCATTACTAATTGGTACAGATTTTACGTTATCATTGTTTACTGGCGGTAAATGGTAAATATTTTTCATGTCTGAAGCTAAAAGTTGCTCCTCGCCCTTCCCATCATGCACGGGTTCAACCTAACAAAACTATTACACATGTATAGGACGACCCCCAATTTTTTGCCTAAAAATTTGGTCTTAAAAACTCGAACTATACACGAGTATATACGTTTTATGCATTACTGTACATTATTATTATTTTTTTAATTACATTGGAAACAGTGAAAATTTATATTTCCCCGGTGTTTTTAACTAACAGGTTGAATTGGCAAAAGGAAATTTTTAGAGGTGCTATGTGAAGAAAGAAGACAGAAGGAGTGCAATGCTGACATTAGAAGAAAGTCGACGATGAAGAGGTAGATTAGAAGGACCAACCCACCACAGCTGCTGTACTGCCGGCATCCCCTATTTTTCAGATACCAGCTGGATGGAAGACATGAGCTGCTGTCCGACTAATTACCCAAATGTACCCAAATGTAGCTGCAATGAAGTCAAATAAGGGTTCTACATGAATAAATCGGACTGCCAATCACTTCTCGACTAGTATTTGGTGTCACAATCACAAAAAATTGGAAAATTTACTTTAATCTGAGTTAATAGATCGCGTCACGAACCGAGGGAGCGAGTAATTACCCAAATGTAGTCGCAATGAAGTCAAATGATGGTCCTACAAGCGTAAATCGGGCTGTGAATCACTTCTCGATTATTATTTGGTGTCATAAAGTCACAAAAAATTGGTAAACTTAATTTAATCTGAGTTGTGTTAGGTAAGGTTAGGTTAGGTACATGCACTCGATCTATTAACTCAGATTAAATTAAGTTTATCAATTTTTTGTGACTTCGTGACACCAAATACTAGTCGAGGTTAGGTTAGGTTCATGCACTCGATCTATTAACTCAGATTAAATTAAGTTTACCAATTTTTTGTGACTTCGTGACACCAAATACCAGTCGAGAAGTGATTGACAGTCCGAATTGTTCTTGTAGTACCATCATTTGACTTCATTGCAGCTACATTTGGGTACATTTGGGCAGTTAGTCGGACCCCGTGAGCTGTGCTGGACCCCACTAATGTACTGATGTGGTTGATGTTGTTGATGCACAATAAAAAGATATAATACCCTAACATGTGAAGCAGGAACATTGTTTGTGTATTTTGAAGTATTTTCTCTGATTTTTGTTGATGTTTACTACGAAGAATCCAAGAGTATGACACTAACTTCGGTTTCCTGTATGACTTGGAGAAACTTCGAGATATGAAAGAAGACTACTGTACATCATGAAAGAGCGATGTATAGCTTTGGATAATTCATTGAGTGTTGGAAATTCTCACGATATTGATTGTGCAGACCTGGTCTCAGAGCTTCGAGTACTCCAAGAACTTATTCCTCAAGAAACAAACAGTGCATTTCAAGTCCTTCAGATTCTCAAGTCTCTAAATGGTTCCTTCCCTAAGGCAGAAATAGCATATCGTATTTTATTGACAGTTCCAGTCACAGTGGCATCAGGGGAGCGAAGTTTTTCCAAGCTGAAATTAATAAAAATATATCTAAGAACAACTATGTCTCAAGAGAGATTGAATGCATTGGCTATGCTCTCCATCGAAAAGGAACTACCAGAAAGTTTGGAATATCAAGATTTAATAGCAGTGAACATAATGTGTAGTACCCTGATATAATAATGATATTAACGTGCCCATGTCATTGAGTGAATTAATAAATAGTTGTATCGAAGCGGTGTTTAACAAGTTGTCCCTTTAAGAACGTAATATATGTGTATTGACTTACGAGATAAGATAAGCGTATTGACTCTGAGTAAATAACATCACGGCCACGCTACCCAACTTCCTGTCTTTACATCCTCCTACTATTAATATTCTACCTATATGCAATATCCTCTTCTGGTGGGTTTTGTCTCATTATACTGGTCCATATCCCTCAGCATTTAAACATGTTGCAATTTGTAACCATGCTTGTTTCTTTAATGTACCAAGCTTCCCACAAGGAATTTTATTTTGCAAAATTTTCTCCTCTCCAATCAAATAAACTAAGAAATCCCGGGAAACTTTGGAGGAAAAAATATCCATGACGAGAACTGTTACAATACAAAATTTGGCGCCAACGAAGGTAAACAAACACACAGGACCCATAATGCATCAGCGAAAAGACGACCATAATGTATCAGCGAAGAGGACAGTATTACCAGACCTAAAAAAATCATCCCGCACGAAGTGGAAGAGGTTTGAGCATTTAAAAATACCGCTTGATGGAACAATAACTTCGAAAAGATTCTTCGTTGGAAGGGGTAGATGTTTCTTTAATAATATGGCCGTGACACTACCCGGGGGAACTCAAAGAAGATCTACAAAACGAGCGAGGCTAACAGGTATAATTTTGTTGATACAGCTTCCCAATCCACCTTGCCAGTTGTCCTTCTGGATTCTTCAGAGTTTTAGGCCACTTCAATGCTGCGTGGTCAGTCCGGATGGTGAAGCTAGATCCAAACGGGTAGGGATGGAAAAAGTCTAAACTCTTTACCACAGCCAAGAGTTCCTTTCTGGTTACACATTAATTTCTCTCTGGAGGGCTTAACTTCTGACTGTAGTATGCTATGACGTACTCGATGTCATCCTTCTTCTGGGACAGCACCCCACCGATGCCATCATCACTGGCATCACAGTCCAAGATGAATGGTTGAGTTGGGTCCGGATACGGGAACACTGGGGAGCTGGTCAAAGGAACTTCGACTCTCAGTAGTCCACACAAACTTCTGCCCCTTCTTAGTCATCTTGTGCAACGGTGCTGCGACCGTGGCGAAGTTCTTCACAAATCGACGGTAGTAGGTACAAAGGCCAAGGAAACTAGGCAGCTCCCTTATACAAGTTGGCACTGGCCAGTTTCTCACCACTGCCACCTTCTCTGGGTCTGTGCCTACTTCCTTCTGGAACAAGTAACATTTCTTTGGGCTCAGTTTAAGGTATACAGCCCGGAACCGGTCATAAACTTCCGATAGCCTCCCCAGTTCTTGCTCGAAAGTTTTGCCAAAGACAATCACGTTGTCCAGATATATGAGGGCAGTCTTCCAGCGCAAGCCTTCCAGAACCCTTTCCTTGAGGCGTTTGAAGGTAGCTGGTGCATTGCACAGGCCGAATGGCATAATTTTGAACTGTCATAGCCCTTGTCCATATGAAAATGAGATGTCGCCGCCGCATTACCACTGAGAAGACAAAGTAGTGCACAAGAAATGATTATCATATCAGAATCCACTGATGAAAATATACTAGTAAGAAAATAAACACCAAAACAAGTAATGCTTCGGTGGGTTAGTCGTCAAAATTAACCACTTAATGCTATGTCATATTGATTTTCTAGCAGCCCATAGTGCTTTATAGTTAGCATGAAGTGTACTGTATCACTGTTGGGTCAGAAGTTACTGGAGTGGTAGCTACCTCAGGGCCATGAATACCCATGGTTTGTTAAATCGCTGGTCCAGCATCGATCTGGCCCCAACGATGTCAGAAAATCAGTGGCTACATACTCCAGTGTCATTCTGTTGCTGGATGCTGTATTTAGCAACAGTTAGCATAAATAAAATATACCATCCGGTGTCAAGTTGCACATTTTTTGTCTCGCCTGTAATGAGTTAAAGAGCAATGCATGTACAGTATAAGCATCTCGGGGCACTACTCAGTTGAGTGTCCTTACTTGGAGCTGGCGGACGCTTGCCCCACAAGGGGTCACAGCTCAAGATTGAAGAAGCCGCAAGTCCAGAAAACTGTGAGGACAAACTTTTTCAGAGTGAGGGTTGTAAACTCTTGGAACAATCTACCAGAGAGTGTTGTGACGGCACCGAGTGTGAGCTCTTTCAAGACAAGACTTGACCAACACTGGAGTGAGTTCAGGTACATTCAGAAGCCGGTGCATGCCCAGCATTTGCCAACAGTGCGTGACAGAGACGTGACCGATCGCCCGGGCGGCTGCGAGCCGATCAGTAGCGAAGAGGAAAAAATGAATAAATAAATAGATGGAGACAACACCATCATTAAGTTTTTGTGATAAAGTTACTCACAAGAAAATACAGGTGAGGCATATGGCTACTTAACAACCTACATCTCTTGACGTCATTTCCCAATTAGTTTTGTCTCCATTAATTAAAAAAAAAAAAAAAAAAAAAAACTAAGATGAAAATTTTAAATTTTAGCTCCTTGTTTTATTCGCGATCATCATAAGTGTTTTATTGTGTTGTACATCATAACCATGTTCACTGTTGTCATGTTTACAGGACCAGAAGGTGTCACCTGCCACCTCAGTACCAGCAGAGGTAGATGTGGTGGTGTTAGGGGGTGGGTCCCTAGGTTGCAACGCCCTCTATCATCTGGCCAAACTCGGCATCACTAATACTGTCCTCCTTGAAGCCCACCAGCTAACTGCAGGTGGGGACTCATAACACTCCAGCTTCACACACATTTCAAATGGAAACTCCTTATAACAGACTGTGCAGGTTATGTGGAGCATATACTTTTCATCCGGACAAATGACTCTTGAAATTTATTGCCTGATTTTTTCCCTGACAAATTTTTGGAGGAAACTTGCTTGCCCATCTTTTTTTATGGAAAAAGTTAATTACACATCTTAAAACATTCAAATTGAGTGTATCAACTCACAGTTCACTTGTGTCAGTGGCAGTAACCCTTATGATCCTTATCCTGTGATGTCAAAACATCACCTCACCTCACACGTGCAGTGTGTGTGTGGAGGGTATGAAGGCAGTACCTTTGATCAGTTACCTTAACTACCACTCCTCCCTTTATAATCTGTGGTGAACTAGAGATAATACTTTTCATATGAGGTCATAACCTCACTTCTACTGCCTCTCAGCTTGTTGATTCCTTTGCCATGCTGATAACTTGACATCGACCGACTAGAGGCAGGTTAGTGGCTTTATAATGTAGAGATAAATTACCTGCACCTGGCATGGTCACTAATCCTGGTACACTGATGATCCCCTGCTTATTTAAAAACATCCATGGTTAAACATGTACGGTGAGGTGGTGTCACGCAACACCTAACAATTTTCAGGCTAGGCATTTTCCTCTCAAAATATTAGCTTGTCCGACGGGTAAATGGACATGAAAAATTACATTTCAGACTTCTAGTCCGAACATTGTGGACTGCCTGGCACTGCTAACCTACACAGCCTGCCTTAAATTGCATGCAGGGATTTCAAACATTGAAGATAATTAACCTGTATACAGTGTAATGTACACTGGGTAAATACAGTACCTCTTTTACCAATACAAAGTAATAAAGAACAGACCGACCATCTGAATGGCTAGTAAACGAGTAATTTATATGCAGTAAATGCAAAAGTTAAAAATAATTAAAATTGCTGTTTATATTCTTTGGAAATGAGCCAATGATATATAAACACAATGGTTGACTATCAAAGAGAGAGCTACACTTGTGTATTGTACAGATGTTTGAACACAAGTGCTGCACTCTCGTCCAATAATGTATCTTTTGTTGTTAATCAAGGATACGGTAGGCAGTTAAACACCCTTGGCTTATCCTTGAGTACATTATGGGTAAGTTTGCCTTACACCATAGGAACAGATTTCATGCTCTGAAGGACAACTCATTCCATTTTCACACATAGTGGACTGCTGGATGTACAGTACAATACAGTGTACAGTATACTGTAGGGATTCTTATGCCTGTAGGGTGGTTGTACAATACATAGGCATTTTGATATAAAAGAAGTTAGTTTTGATATACTGTACTGTATAACCGAGTCAGTTTATCATAACAGTATTTCTTTATTAGTGTTGTCTTTTTTTTTTTTTTTTACAATACTCTGTACAGTATACAGTATATGAATCCCTGAACACATCTTGTTGGGAATCCCTCTACTGTATATCTATTCATGACTAGCATTACCACTGTTGCTCGTAACAACCTTACACAAGTAATTGTCAATGTCACCTGTCTTGAATATGATAATAGCCCTACACAGAAGAAATTAACTTTGTATTATTGTGTACAGGGACAACATGGCACACAGCAGGGCTATTGTGGAGGTTGAGGCCAAGCGATTCAGATATCCACCTCATCAACACAACGCGAAAGCTTCTCCTCAGACTAGAAGAGGAGACGGGCATCAACCCTGGGTGGATCAACAATGGTGGCCTTTTCATTGCTTCAACTAAAGTAAGCTACATTTTTATTTTTATCATTACAGTATTTATGTTAACAGGGTAGCAAAGCTATATGTACTTGATAGTAAAGTCACACTTAATAACACTGCCAGTACTGTGACCTGTAATCAGAGAGGACTCTGATTGTTATTGTAATTAACCTTTATTATGGCAGGTGTGTTTGCAAGAATCAAGTTATCTGTTTTGGAGCATTGATGATTGATATAAACTTTTTTTTATCTTTTATTTAAAATTTTACAATTTACATATACTGTACTGTATACATAAATATTACATGTTAATATATTTGTCCGTGAAATATTTGGATGACTTTTCTTTTAAAATGCACTTGATTATAATATATCCTGCTTTTAATAAAGGCTATAGTCTCCTTAACATTATAATTTTCCTTCCTACTTAACCACATACAGTAAATATAATCTGACATTAGCATGTTCATTGTACAGTATTAAGGTATCCATGTTGAAAGTCTATTCACTATGTAGTTTGACTTTTTTGAGTCGAGTAGTTTATTTTTCTGCAGACTTGGCTGACCTCTGCCAAGCTTATGGTGAATTAGATTAATATTTTAATAAGGTGACAGTCCATTCTGAATTTTCTGAGATAAGATGAGAAATGGGAAGAGCACAGCATTACTAAAGAAAAAGCATTTTCTTTTTCACCATGCCATTGCTGGTTAAACCCTCAGACACTAAGCACTCTACACTTTGTACACTAATTTGGCTGTGAATCCATCCAAGAAAAAAAGTTGAATTTTGTTCTTGTAATGCCAAAATCATTCAACAAATACGTAACAAATATTGAATACATCTATCCTAAATTAAATGAAAGTGGTAATAATAATGATTAATAAAAGTACCAGTTGTCTACATATTTTGGGTATTCACCAGGAGCGTCTGGATGAATATAAGCGGCTCATGACCATGGGTAGGGTTTATGGCATTGAAAGCTACGTACTGGACCCAGCAGAGACCAAGAAACTCTACCCTCTCATGAATGTTGAGGACCTCTATGGCACGCTCTATTGTCCTGGTGATGGTAAGTTAGGACGAAGTATAATAAAGCTGAAGGGGGTGTGTTGAAAAGGTAGCTATCTTAATTTATGCAAATGATAAGTACTGATAAATTGTCCTACTGAACTGTATTGAGTGAGCCAGTGTGTGATCTGATCTCATAAAAATAAAACAATTTAAAGTACACTAGTACAGTACCTCAACATTCTTGAGGGATGGGCTTTCTGGGACACCCATGAATGTAGAATTTTGCGAATACCTGTAACAGTCTTTAATATCCTATCTTTAATATTATAGTGTACCATAAATTATGAGAAAAAAAATTAGATAATATATTTAAGCCCTCTAAATACTACACAGGTTTGTACATTTACTTTATCTGGTTGTATTATGTGTGAATCAAAATTAAATTAAATTAGAAGCAAGTAAATATGGTGATATGTTAGGGAAGTCAACTGGATTGGAGTAGTGGCGATGCATCATCTGCTGCTTGACTCACACGGCCCATACCGTACCACCACCACTGCACCATCAACACACGTGAATGCACGCCTAACATGCAACGCTGTGAATGAAACATGCATAAATACTGAATATTAAGTTTTCCTGTAACAAAGTTAAGACTGGGAAGAATATATAATTTATCCCAGTCATAAGTCTAATATCAACACTGGGAGCAAAATAATTAGCAGTGTTACTTATGTATATAAAGTTTACTTTTCTTTCCTCATAAGGAGGCAGGCGAGTAATTCGTATCGGTGAAATGAAGGGGAGAGGCAGGCTGCGAATGTGGCAGGAGTGATGCAGACCACTCCGGGTTGGTTTGTGAGGAGAAAGAGAGAGGAGCGGGGAAGGGGGTAAATCTCGGCAATAAAAACATTGTTCTTGGCAATTGTTTGGCTTTCTTTTTTAGTTCTTTATCGATTTCTTGATAAGGTTGTCAAACAATCTCAATATTCTGCTTCATTTTGATGCTTAATTCCATTGATGGGTCATAGTCGTAAATCACGTCTATTAAATTTTGGCACACCTGACTCATGTCCTCAATCCATACACTTAAGGCCTTCTCCATCTTCTCAATACCTTTATCACATATCTGATATATAACTTTAGCACTGTGTGGTACATTATGAGCAACAGTACGTACTTCTAATTTCCTTGCTTTTCATCTTTAGGGAATGAACAGTTGACTCATTAACTCCAAACACTTGGCCAACCGCTGATGCACTCATGACACTATCAAGTTTATCTAACAAAAAAAATTTCTGTTAGAGTCACGACTTTCTTCACTCTATTTGCACCAGATGCACTACCACCAGTTAATAGCTTTTTGGGAGCCATGACCGTTATAATTAATGTTAGAATTTCTCTCAAACGAGACTGGCGGGTGATGTGGGAGAACTCTCAGACGAGACTGGCGGGAGTGAACAGCTGGGCAGGATGCAGCATGATGCCTGGGGATTTTAAAATAAGCACTAGGGTGGTCCTTATTTTGGGGCAAAAAACAAAATTTGCCATTTTTTTGTCACAGACCCTGGCAAAAGTTTCCATTTGGGGTAGAAACATTGCCTGTAAAATATTTTTTAAATATCTTAATAATTAGAGGTTGCTCAAGTCAAATGAAATTTAACAATATTATGCCTATGCTTAATGTTCATAACACATCATTTCCTAGCCCCCAAGCCTGGGCCCCCCCCCCCACTTAGTCTAAGTGGGTATTAGCTGCTCAAGGCAGGGGTCGCACGAGGACCAGTCTCACTCTTTGTCGCCCAGTAAGGTCTGCTTGAGGGCATTAGGGAATGATTTCCTGTGGTCAGCAACTGCCTGCAGTAGATACTGCAGTTGCTGTTCATCCTTGGTGATGCAGCCTGAGAAATCTTGGACTAAGGCTACTCCTCTTTCTGCATGGTCATTGATCACAGACAAAGTTTGTACACTGGCTTTTGCATTTTGGAAGCCAGGATCATCTTTCCACTGTTCTACTGGGAGGCCCAGGAAATCTGTATTCAAGTTGAGCTTTTTGAAAAATGACTTTGTGTTCTTTGTCGTGAAATCATATAGGTTCTTCACTTGGAGTGTGTCTGGATTGATTGTAACCCGTTTGACATGCTTTTCTTCTCCAATAACGATGTTCATAGCTTCCAACATGCGGTCCTTCACTGCCGGGAGAACATCGTCATCAAAGAAGGCCAATGCAACCAACTCTTCTGACAAGTACCAGAGGTGTCTCATCATTTTGTGGAAAGTTGCCTTTGATATGGCATCGCTGATGGTACTGTAGTCTTGTAGAGCTTTAAGCAACATCAGAGCTTCTTTTGGTGCCTTTGCAGCAAGTGGAGCAGTTGTCCAAGCCTTCACATATATTCGGGCAAAGAAAATGCACAAATCTCTTAGTCCTCTGTTCTCCTTTGGAGTAAGCTTAAACTGAGAACGGAATAACCACACTTTGAAGGAATAAATGGTCTTTGCCATCCATCGTGCTTGGTGCATTGCACCAGGAGCAGAAAATCGTACTCCCCGAGAAGGTGATGTGCCAAGGAAGATGGAGGCCAGCTCTAGCAGCTCTCGATAATCATCTCGAAGCTGTGTCTCCAATAGAGCCTTTTCAATGAAGTTGGTTAGATCGTCCCTAACAGCTCTGACCGATTCTTCTGCCAGATCGTCGGTGGAGGAGTCTTTAAACTTCTGCTTGTCAATTTGTTCCCATTTGGCTTGGAATCTTTGGAACAGCTGTGTGTCAGGAGCAGCTGAGTGCCCCATTACAGCTTCAAAAGCAGCTCCAGCTACAAGCTCTAGTACATGATGGTGGCAGGCAAATATAGCAAATCACGACCCAGCAACTGCTCAATTTTGACACACGCACCCTTGTGGTGACCAGTATTTGAGCTTGTATCAAAACACATGCCATGCACGATGTCTGCAATGTGCCATTGCTGCAAAGCCTTCACAACAGCTTTTGCTTGTTCGTCACCGGTACCAGAGAGAAGTTTTGGAACAGCAAGAAGTTGGGAGGTGCCATTGCCTGAGACAAGAACTGGGAGTCTGTCAATATGGCCCCCATGCCCCGTCAAATCAGGCATCAATTTACCATCCCAGTGAACAATTAAAACTGACTCTGGTTTGAAGTTTGAAAGGATTTCAGCTGCCCTGCTACTGCGATGATGCTGACGTTTCCTCCTGAAGCTTGATCGATTAAATGTATACTACGCAAACAGTAGAAGTATGAGAAATAAAATGGATGATATTAGGGCCTTGGTATGTACCGAAAAAATCGATATAATTGCATTCACTGAAACATGGATCAACCTAGACACACGTGAGTTACCAGTCGAATACCAAATTGCGGGTTACAAACTGTTCCATACCTATAGGCAGACCAGGAAAGGAGGCGGAGTAGCAATCTATGTTAGGGATAATCTGAAGTGTGAAATAAATAAGAAAATAAAAACTGACCGGAATACAGAAACAATTTGGATAGAATTAATCGACGGTAGAGAAAAATTAATCACAGGAGTAATATATAGACCTCCCAATCTTGATAGAGTCAAAGAGCGACTTATCTGGGACGAAATGCGCAGGGCTTCCATACACAACAAAGTCTGTATAGTAGGCGACTTTAACCTTGGCCAAATAGATTGGACTGACCTTACAGGTAACTCAGAATCAGAAGATTTTCTCGAGACTATCCAGGACTGTTTTCTAAGTCAACATATAACTGAACCCACACGGGGTAATAATATACTCGATTTAGTTCTGTCAAACAGAGAAAACCTCATTAGCAGGGTCGAGGTAGGGAACGAATTTGCAAACAGCGATCACAAAGAAATTAGATTCCAGTTAGACTTTCAGGGCAGACGTAAGGAAAATTCCACTAAAGTACCAGATTTCAGAAGGGCGAACTTTGACAGTTTAAAGAGGCAGCTGAGAGAGGGGGTGTCGCGCTTGGCCGTGAACCTGTCAGATGACACCGACCTGATAACGAGATCTGAGATTGCCGAGTTCCACGACAATTTAAATAGTGAGTTACTTAATGCACAAAGGCAGAACATACCATACAAAAAACTCAGATCAGACAACAATGACCCTAAATGGATTAATAATTATTTAAGGAACATCATTGGCCAAAGGAAGGCTATAGGTAGAAGGATAAATCGTGGCGAAATTCACCTCCGGGACTATTATAGGGTATTGGCGAGTAGGGTTAAAACCGAGATAAGGAAAGCAAAGAGGAATAATGAGGTAAGGATAGCAAGGGAGGCGAAGACAAACCCCAAAGGATTCTACCAAATGTATCAAACAAAAACACGAGAAACGATTGGACCAATACGGTCAGACACCGGCGAGCTCACTGATAACGACAGAGAAATGAGCAATAATTTGAATAAATATTTTTCAACAGTTTTCACCACCGAAAATTTAAACATGATACCCGAGGCACCGACTCTATTCAGAGATAGTGAAGAAAACAAATTAAGTGAGATAGTAGTGACTAGTAACGATGTTAGTAAGCAAATAGACAAACTAAAGCCTAATAAGTCACCTGGTCCCGATGAGATATTTGCCAGAGTATTAAAGGAATGTAAGGAAGAGCTTAGTATGCCCTTAGCAAAGTTGTTTAACATGTCCTTAAAACAGGTGTAGTACCAGAATCCTGGAGGATAGCGAATGTAATACCGATTTTCAAGAAGGGGGATAGATCACTATCCTCTAACTACCGCCCAATCAGTTTAACATCAATAGTAGGCAAATTACTGGAAGCAATCATCTCAAACTCTATTCGAAATCACCTGGAGAAGCACAGATTGATCAATGATTCCCAGCATGGCTTCACAAGCGGACGCTCTTGCCTAACTAATCTATTAACATTCTTTTCATCAGTTTTCGAATCGGTGGACGAGGGGCACAATTATGATGTGGTATATCTCGACTTTAGCAAAGCCTTCGACAGAGTCCCCCACGAAAGACTAATTAGAAAGGTAGAAGCACATGGCATCAAAGGTGACATCCTTAAATGGATTAGGGCGT